GAGACATGTGCTCGGTTTTTGGAGAGTAACCAGCCATATATGCGCAGACGCTACTATGAAGAGCTGGGAACTAGAACTGCAAAATCAGTGCCATCTATTGTGAAACCACCAAAATTGGAACTCAAACAACTGTCACCACATCTTCGATATGCGTACCTGGGGGAATATTCTACACTACCTGTTATTATTTCAAGCACTGTCAGTGAGGTAGAGGAAGAGAAACTACTTCGGGTGTTAAGGGAGAATAAAACAGCTATTGGATGGTCGATTGCAGATATAAAGGGGATCAGCCCATCTATATGCATGCATAAGATACTCATGGAGGAAAAATTTAAACCAAGCATTGATGGGCAGCGGAGATTGAATCCACACATGAAGGAAGTGGTTAGAGCTGAGGTATTGAAGTTGCTCAATGCAGGCATTATTTATCCAATATCAGATAGTGCATGGATCAGTGCAGTGCAAGTTGTTCCCAAGAAGGGAGGAATCACAGTGATAGAAAATGAGAGAAATGAGTTGATTCCTACACGGACAGTGACTGGATGGAGAGTGTGCATTGACTACCGTAAGCTTAACTCAGCTACTCGAAAGGATCACTTTCCATTACCGTTCTTTGATCAAATGTTGGAAAGATTAGCAGGGCATTCGTACTACTATTTCCTAGATGGGTACTCCAGGTATAATCAGATTCCAGTGGCACCAGACGATCAGGAGAAGACCACTTTCACTTGCCCCTATGGCACATTTGCATACAGAAGGATGCCATTTGGATTATGCAACGCTCCCGCTACCTTTCAGCGCTGCATGATGGCTATTTTCTCAGACATGATTGAGAAATTCATCGAGGTATTCATGGATGACTTCTCTGTGTTTGGATCTTCATTTGATGAGTGCCTGGAGCATCTAAGTCTTGTGCTACAACGGTGTACAGAGACCAACTTGGTGTTGAATTGGGAGAAATGTCACTTTATGGTGCAAGAAGGCATCGTACTAGGGCACAAAATTTCAGCAAAGGGTATTGAAGTGGACAGGGCAAAGATTCAGGTGATTGAGAATCTACCACCACCTACCTCAGTGAAGGGTGTTCGCAGTTTTCTTGGGCACGCTGGATTCTATAGAAGGTTTATCAAGGATTTTTCAAAAATTACCAAACCTCTGTGCTGTTTACTGATGAAGGAGTCCACATTTGAGTTTAATGATGAGTGTCTGCAGGCCTTTAACACTTTGAAAGAGAAGTTGACTTCAGCACCTGTAATTATCACACCGGATTGGAATCTGCCATTTGAATTAATGTGTGACGCCAGTGATTATGCTGTGGGAGCCGTGTTGGGTCAACGAAGGAATAAGGTATTTCACGTGATCTACTATGCAAGTAAGACTTTGAACGATGCTCAGTTAAATTATGCCACTACGGAGAAAGAGCTTCTTGCTGTAGTCTATGCGTTTGACAAATTTCGATCATACCTTGTGGGGTCGAAGGTCATAGTGTACACAGATCATGCCGCCATCAGATACTTGATGGAGAAGAAGAATGCTAAGCCACGCCTCATCCGTTGGATATTGCTACTTCAAGAGTTTGACCTGGAAATCAAGGATAAGAAAGGCAGTGAAAACGTGGTAGCGGACCACCTATCTCGGCTTGAGGACACAGAACAGGAAGAGACAGTGGAAATAAACGAGATCTTCCCAGATGAGCAGATCTTTGGTGTGATGGAAACACCCTGGTATGCAGATATAGTTTACTATTTAGCCAGGTCTATCATACCGCCAGATTACTCAAGTAACCAGAAGAAGAAATTCTTCGCAGAATTGAAGTACTACTTTTGGGAAGACCCCATTCTCTACAGGCGGGGGGCTGATCAAATCGTTCAGCGTTGTGTACCAGAAGAAGAGGTGCCTTTGATATTAGAGAACTGTCACTCATCTATATATGCAGGGCATTTTGGTGCTTCTAAGATAGCGGCGAAAATTCTCCAATCAGGTTTTTACGGGCCCACACTCTTTAAGGACGCGTTTGAATTTGTAAAGAGGTGTGACCGATGTTAGCGCACGGGTAACATCTCTAGAAGAAATGAGATGCCGTTGAGTAATATCTTGGAGGTGGAATTATTTGACGTCTGGGGGATCGATTTCATGGGGCCATTCCCACCATCTTTTTCAAATCAATACATTTTAGTGGCGGTGGACTATGTCTCGAAGTGGGTTGAAGCGGTTGCATTGCCTACAAATGATGGGAAAGTGGTGATTAAGTTTGTGAAGAAGAATATTTTCACCCGGTTTAGGACACCGAGAGCCATAATCAGTGACGGGGGCACACATTTCTGCAATCGTCAGTTCGAGCAGTTGTTATCAAAATATGGCGTCAAGCACCGCATAGCCACCGCATATCATCCCCAAACCAGCGGACAGGTCGAAGTATCCAATAGGCAATTGAAGCGTATTCTGAAAGTCACAGTTAACTCATCACGAAAGAATTGGTCAAAGAAACTGGATGATGCCTTGTGGGCCTACGGGACTGCATTCAAAACTCCTATAGGAATGTCTCCATATCGACTGGTTTTTGGGAAAGCATGCCATCTACCTCTCTAGATCGAACATCATGCTTACTAGACAATGAAGAAGTTGAACTTGGATTTGAAGGCTGCAGGTGAAAAACGGCTGTTACAACTGAATGAACTTGATGAACTCAGAATGGAAGCCTATGAGAACTCAAAGATCTACAAAGAGCGCACCAAGAAATGACATGACATGCATATCCAGAGGCGTGACTTTCAAGTGGGGCAAAAAGTGTTACTGTATAACTCCAGGCTTAAGCTGTTTCCAGGAAAATTGAGATTGAGATGATTTGGTCCATATACCATTACACAAGTATTTCCACATGGGGCAATTGAGATTACTCACGACAGCAAGGGGACATTCAAAGTCAATGGATAGCGGTTGAAGCACTACTGGGGCGGTGATTTCTCAAAGGACAAGTCTACCATCCAACTTGGATCACCAGAATGACGCATTACGGTAAAGTCGAGCTATCGACTATAACATAGCGCTGAGTGGGAGGCAACCCACTGTATCCTTTATTTTATTTTATTTTATTGCATTAGTTTAGGAATTTGTTTGATTTTAGTTTGTTTCGTAGGTCATCGATCATATTTTGCATGATAGCCTAGGCATTTCACGTTTAATGTTGCATGAATCGGGGGTGTTATGAAGTGTGTCGAGTGTTCGAGTGCATGTCACGCATTCCGATGTGCGAAGATGTTCATTTATGTTAAGATTTCAGAATGCGGGTAAATATTTTTGAAAAATCGATTTTGGTGCCAAGTTTTCGATAAGCATATTCCTTTTTCAAGTCAAAAATTTCAATTTTTTTTCGGAATATAGCGGAGTAAGTCCAAATTTTTAAGTGAAAAATCGATTTTGGGGGAGTCTAAATTCTAAGTTATGTTTTTGAAAAAAAAATAATAATAATAATAATTTTGGACAAAAATGGCACTCTTTTTATTTTTTTTATTTTATTTTATTTCTAAAAAAAAATTAAAAAAATAATATACCCGGTTTGGTCTATGCGACCGTTGCCGAAAATAAAAATGGCCGTGCCTATTGCACTATGCGACAGTATAGTGCAACACTATGCGGTCGCATAGTGTTGTGGTCACGGGTTTTAACCCGTGACCACACCATTAACCCCCAAAATTTTCCCCCCTCCCCCTCACATTCGTACACACGCACACACTCCACCTCTCACTCTTCACTTGCACACTCAACCTCTCACTCTTCACTTGCATCCACTTCACACATTCACAATTCTAGCACCTAAGTTGGATTGGATTATACATTGAGGTGTCACATCTAAATTAACAAGTATTTGGCCAAGCAAGGTATGTTCTTCTAATCCCTAATTTTGAGCTTCATTTTACCGTTTATCATTCAATGTGTTGGCATTAGTTAGAAGGTATAAGGTAGTATGACATGGTGTTGTGAATTGGGGGCAATTTCATGGTAGTGTTTTAGAAGAAATAGGAAGAAATTCACATTGCACACCACATGTTCGACGAAATGCCACATTGACGATTGTTTTAAATTCTTGAACTTTTCACTTATGCAATAGTTTACATCGTTATTGTGTGGCTTTTTGGCCGAATAATCACGTGCAATTTCATTTGAAAAACACTACCGCAATATTTGAATTCACAAAGGCACTTCATGGCTAATCTTATTCACTCACGTCACTACCTTCGTCCCTATGTTTTCTTATGCAAACGACCTCCGATTAAGGTGAAATTTGGATATATGCTAGATGTCATTGAGTACTTTCACATGTCCAAAACTTGCCCGGGAAAATTTCGATATTTCTCGGTGATGCCCGGGGCCGAAGTTGGTCACTTGGTCATGGGTCAAATTTTCTAAAAATGCATATTCGAGCCATAATTTTGAGTTTTCCATACTTATGCAATGTTAGGGTTATATTGGTGATTCATGTCTTGAAAAATTGCATAAGCATACGTACATGTGCATGTTGAAGAAAGTTTGGGGGATTATGAATTCAAAGATTATTAATGCCCGTTATTCCTATACAAAGTGATT